CGGGCCCGGCTCTCACGTGCGGCTTTTGTCAGTTGTGCATTTCGCACGGCTTCTGTAATTATTTGGTCAGGCGCGGAAGGGATGGTGAATTACAGTACGGGATGTGCTGTTTACTGTTGGAGGAGACAATACAGGTAGGATTGGCAAATGTTTCCTCTCCTGTTCTTAAGAACAGATGTGTCTTAATGTCTCTTTTGGTTTTCCTTACGTACTGGAACACCGGGGACATAAAACTAATGATAGCTGGTGTGATGTTGTCATAACCAGAATTTATTTTGCAGCATTTCTTATCGATTTCCTGCTTGATTTTTTTTTTTACTCTTTAGTAAAAATAAACTGCTTCATTTCAGTTGTTTTATGTATGTATGGTGGGTACCTGCTCTGTAAAGTATAGTCTAAGTAGAACCTGTAAGAGGGGACCATTTACTAGTCACATACTACAACCAGTTCTTAAACTTAATTAATGCTATGACTGATTCTTAAATAACTAAACAGGACGTAATATTTTGGCCACTTACCTAAAGTTCACTAGAGTCTTAAAGCAAAAAACTTATATTATTTTATGAGTGTTGCAGTTGTACCTCAAAAATATCCTTGATTGTGGGTGAGCCTGATACATAAGACTGGAATAATGAACTTCTGAATGTAATGTGTCCCTTAAGCTTAGTCAGGTGGTTGCTTTGGTGTTGCGGGGTTTTTGGTTTTGACCATTAATGGTAGGTCATTAGCCACTAAGAAACAGTGATGCTTTAGTAGTATAGAACACACTTTATAGGAAAAACAGTTGAGATTATTTTTCTATAACCAAGAGCTGTTGCTCCAAGGCCAAGCTTCTGCACAATTAACATGTGGTGGAACTAAAACATCTAGCACTGCAAGAGCACCTTTTTTTTTTTCCCCCTCAGTATAACTGTATGTTGACTTTAAAGCCATTTGTTTTCAGCTATGATAATTTTTCGTTTTTTGTTAACAGGGTATTTCAGTTACTAAGATGTAATTGCTGAATAGTTATAAGTGTTTTCATTTTAAACACAGAGGTGTGTACCTCTCAGTTTAAGCACATAGTAAGTTTTGTGCTTTTTCCTTTTTTTCTCTCTAGGAAACACATGAAGAGCATGATACTTCTACTGAAAATGCAGATGACTCTAACCATGATCCTCAGTTTGAGCCCATAGTATCTCTTCCTGAGCAAGAAATAAAAACACTGGAAGAGGATGAGGAAGAACTCTTTAAGATGTAAGTAGAGTATTTCTGTATGTTATCAAAACATTTATTAGACTTAAACTTGATAAAAGTATTTATAAAAAGCTAGGGAGCTTGTTTAGGAATCTCTATGTATGAAGTGGCAATCTAAGTTAGTTGCTGCTTACTGTGGTGGGCAGAGGTAGAGTGGGGAGATGAATAATAATGCCCCAAGAGGACACAATGAAGTCTGGAGCAATAGAAGGTGGTTGATGTTATATATCTGGCTTTGGTATTGTTTAGCCTAAAATAAAACATGAATTTGAATAGTAATTAGAGGTTTGAAATTGTGATCATAGCATAAAAATAGTACTGGCGTGGATAGGTGATAACTGTAGTGTTGCTGCTGTGCATGCTCAGTTGTAAAGGTGATGTATGATATGTTGAAACAGTAGATGAGGTGCCATAGTGGGGTATTTGTGGCAGCACTTTTTCTGTTTTAAATGTAGGGTGTTTTTGTAGTTTTTTAGATTTGGCTTATTGTCAAATCGGGGAATCTTGCTTAAGGTGTGTGATCTGCCTGAAGAAACATGGAGGCTAAAGGTTTAAGAAGTGTTTTGAATTTGATGCATGATGTGTTTGCTTTAAATTGGTTTTAAAAAAACTGCTTTTACTTAATTGCAGAAGGGTTATTGCTGACCTGGAAAAGAGGTTTAAGTTCTCCATTTACAGCTGGCACAAACTAAAGTGATGGTTTCTGACAAGTAGTGTGCTGTGCTAGCTGACCTTTAGGCCTCTGCACGTGTGATGTGCAGTAGAAGATGGAAAGAATAATTTTATTTAATAAGTTGGGGGGAGTAATAGTGTAAGTTCCAGTGCCCTGTAGGCTCATCTTTGTGTATAGAGGGGTGAAGGAGGAAAGAAATCCATTGTTTTGAATGCTGGTTGATAGGGGAATTCTTTACTGAATACCAGCTGGACATGGAAAGAAGGACTTGCTTTGGAACAAAGTAGTTAATCTGCATCAAAGCCTCTGTTAGAGTAGCTTGCTCCAACATCTGACACCTTCTCTTGAAGGATTTGGCTTATTACAAGTCTCTATCCCTTACTCTTCTATCGAAAAGTGTAGTTTTATATATATCCTGTAGTGTGAGCAGGTGCTCCCTTTCCTGTAGCAGTGTCTTCAGCTACTCGCTAGTAGAGCTCAGACTGTCTCTTGGGTCAGTTCTGACTAATATCCCAAACTACTCCTGATTCTCTTTTGGCACACTGGCACCTTGGAAGATTAAAGAGTGGTGTTCTGAAGCAGGTATGTTGCACTGCAGTGCAGCACCAAGTTCCTTTTATTTCTCCTTTAAGAATAGCCACAGCTAGGTTTTTGGAGTTAAAAAGAAACGAGCTACTCTAGAGAGTGAGGCACCCTGTTAACAGTTCGTCAAGCACTAGGCTTGGAATTACAGAGGAGTCTTAATTCAAGAAATTGAGCCCCTTGAGGCAGTAAGTACTGCTGGTTAGATAAAGCAGCTGTAATCATGTATGTAAAAATCTCTATAGCAAAATCTGCTAATTAGATATTTGAATTTAAAGTGTTGCTGATATAAAATGTTTATCATCCTTCAAAAGTGTGTCCAGAACCTTTTGAATTTTGGTATACTCATTATGTAATTCTTAATAGTTTGTTATTGAAACTGTACTGTTCAGTCAAGTATGCTGTTCCAGAAAATGGCTCTACATGCAGGATAACTTCTTAAATTCTCTGTTGAAGGCGAGCAAAGCTGTTCCGGTTTGCCTCTGAGAACGACCTTCCCGAGTGGAAAGAGCGAGGGACTGGCGATGTGAAACTGCTCAAACACAAGGAAAAGGGAACAATTCGCCTGCTCATGAGGAGGGATAAAACCCTAAAAATCTGTGCAAACCATTATAGTATGTTATACGTCGCTATACTTCTTTCTTTTAAAAAGGAAACATACAATTGTACATTGCTGATTAGGAGCTCAGTGGGGTTTTAGTAGTACATAGAAGATTGCTGTATGTCTTTAAACGGGCATCAGATTTGTTAGAATGTACATACAGCTGTCTCCTGCTCTGCACACAAGGCTACAAGCATCGGAATCAAGGAGTGCTCATTTTTATTAAGCTGTTTTTTCCGCTGTAGTTGGTTTTAGTGATTGCCTGCAAGACTGAGTCTTAAAGTTGGTTGGTTTTTTTCTTCAGACTCTGGTAGTGTTCTAAGACACTTTAAAATTTAGCTGGGATACACACTGTGATTTTTCCCTCTGTGTGTGTGCGTTTGTGTGTTTAATCATTGGAGTGTTGAAAATGAAGATCATAATAGTATTTAGGATAAGAAATTAATGTATGCCACCTTCTTTTTGTAAAAGAATGAGGAATAAGCAGTCATGTAATAATTTACTACTTTAAGCTAAATGTTTGAATTGGCAGAAGCAATTGCTTAATCATCCGAGAACAGATACTGAGGTGCTAAACTAATCTCTGGCTGCCTTTCTCTGCTTGTGAAATAAACTGAAATGAATGTGGTGTATTCAACTAATTCGTTCAGAAAGAATGAGTATTGAGAGCTGATGAAGCAGGAGAGGTATGTTCCTTTGATCCTTTTTGAATAAAAATAAACACAAAAGGGCAAGACAGACCTGAAAGTCAATACAACTAGCAACAAGTAGACTAATTTGGTAATGCTGTGTTGCTTTCTTTGGTAATACTCAGGAGTTTTTGTGAAAAGTATGTAGTATTCTGTGAAGTTAAACTACATTTAGATAACTTGCTTGAAGTAGCTTCATACACATGTGAAGTCAGAAGCAATAATGCTTGTTTTCTTTTGGTAGATCTCTTCAAAAAGCCAGACTATTCAGAGGACCCAGGTGTTCCTGTTTAATAGATGAAAGGGGCAAATACAAAAGCAGTGTAGTCACCAACCCATAAGAATAACCCTTTTGTTTAGGAAAATAAATGTTACACATATGCAAACCAGAATTGATAAATTCATAGTGTTTGTGTTGGAAGGTTATTTTTCCCTTAGAAAAACTGCTTCCAGTATAGATTCCTTTATGAAATTTATGCTGACTCACAGGCAGACAAAAGGACTCTTCATTTTCACAAAACAAAGCGAAGCAAAATCTAACTTGATCTATGAATTTTAAAAATGCAAGAAAGTAAGTAGACAGTTTGGATTTCTCCTGAACTAAATGGAGGACCCAGGGGTTGGAGAGAGGGGGAAAAAAAAAAGGCTCATCTTAAAGTTTGCAAGTGTGTAATGTAAAAAGTCAGAGTAGCCTAAGAGTAGCATTCCAGCTTCTATCAGTCAGGTAAAGTAATTACAGTGTCTTGGAGAAGAGTGCTCAAATTTATTGGGAAGGAACAAATGGATTGAAAAATATACCGTGTACATCTTGCAGCGTTGTAGAATTCTGTAATGCCTGCTAGTAGAGCTTTAAACTGATGAGAGAAAACCAAACCTGATGACTAATTGTATGAATAGTGCCTTTTTGTAAAGTAGCATGTAGTATTTTCAGCGTGCAAAAGAATGAATGCTGTTTGGGTGTTTTTCTTCTAAAGCATTTGACTGTTCTTCAGAGTTGTGCTTATTGACTGCATTTCTCCTACTATCACAGTCATCTCTTTTAAACAATAATTGAATTAAACTGTTTCTTACCAGTAGGGAATCTTAACATTTCTTTTAAGCACGAATTGTCTTGAATTGTGTCATTTGAGGGTGTAAGGAAGAGTATATATGGGGATCATTGTCTTCTGTTTATCTAAAAGTAATTCCATGTAAAGTGCATTACATAACCATCAGTTGTCAATAAGATTGGAGGCTGGGGTGGAAAATATTTACTGTTGTGCTGTGTACATTTTTAATGCTTTCTTTTCAGTCACACCCTTAATGGAGCTGAAGCCTATTGCTGGGAGCGACAGGGCGTGGGTCTGGAACACACACGCTGACTTTGCAGATGAGAGCCCCAAGGCTGAACTTCTGGCAATCCGGTTTTTAAATGCAGAGAGTGAGTGGACTGGCACTGAACTTACAATGAGTGTGTCTCGTCACGTTACGCTGCATGGCAGTGCTGCTGTGAACCTCTTGCACAGGCTGCAGCTTACCACTGCATGGTAGTGTTAGCTAATTACTGTTTGGGCTGAGGGAAGTCAGTTAATGGCTTTTCCGTATGTGTTGACAGTGTAGTAATCGGGTCTCGGTAATATTTATAGAGCTTTCTGCCCTAGGCACTTGTTTTAACACAAGCCATTTCATGCAAGTGTAACGCCAATTAGAATAAAACTAAAAGCCGTAATACATTTAATACATGCTGCTTCCTTTCCTTTATTTTAGGTGCTCCATGATAGTTAAGATTACATTTTTCTGTTAAAAGCAAGGAAATACAGACCTGAAGTTTCTGGTCTGTCTGTATTAGCAGAGCATCTCTAGTGGTTTTTAGGTTTGTTTTTTTCAGCTAAATATTTATTTTGATTAAAAAATCTTTATTTTGATTAAATGGATCCCTCCATGAAATGTGCTAGTCAAACCCCAACTGTTCTACTAGTTAGTGGGTTTTCCTGGAGTGACTGCACTGGCTACCAGAACAGAAAGTAGGTCTGTAATTACATATGGAGCAGCTAGTGGGGATAAATGACAGTGCACCTCTCCCAACTCTTTAGGACTGATTAAAAGAAACAATAGGTTTTTTGCTTGAAAAAAGAAGCAAAATGAAAGAGGAAAGATGTGACCAACACTGAAATCGTGTGGAAAAGGGTAAAGCAGGGAACACATCTTCTTTCTATGTGCTAGATGGCTAATAAAGTGGCTCTGATTTTTAAAACTAGATGGATTTGCCTATGTTGGGGAAGAATTTAGTATATCTTCCTTGCTTCCTTTTCCTCAAGTCTCCAACATCATGTTGTTTAGCCACATCTTCCTGATCCACCTGCTAAGTGCTTGCTTAAGTATTAAGATTTTTTTCTTAAGTATTTTCTTCAGTATTTCTGAAGTATGAAATTGGAGGGCTTTGGTAACTATTTGCTTGTCTTTTAAAAGTTTCCCTCTTTCTGGTAGAGGTTTTTCAGCTTACTGAGTGTTTTGTCTTGAATTAATAGTTGTCTTTGCCTATTTGCCCTTTGCAGTACTCACTAATGACAGGTGAACAGATAAGTCCTCTTCAAGTATCTTTGTCTTTTGAGGTGCTTGAAAAGGAAATCAATGCAAATAGTTCCTGGACTAGTTTCAGTGTAGCTGCTGAATTCTTCTGAGGCAACAGTGACCTCACGTGGTCAACCAGACCAAGTTGGCTACAAAAACTTCCTTATTTCTGGTTCTAGTACCTTGCATAATCTGCTTTTGTCTTGTTGCTTTATTATTTGTGTAGAAACATTATTGTAGCGAGGGTCAACTTCTTGGAACGACTGTGGCTTAGACCACAACACAGTGAAGATTATACTTGCTTAGCTAGTGTATTTGGGAATAGTTTGAGTCCAGGCCTTTGGGTGTTGAATCTGAATGCTATACTAATGACATCAAGTCCATCTTCCATTTTTTATGCTAAGAACCCGAGGTTATGGTATGGGTGTGGAAGTCTTTTAGGGTATAATGTAGCTGAAAAGGTATGGCAGTTCGAAGTTAATCCTCAGTCTTTTGCACAGAGTCACATTAGCAGTCTGACGTATTCCTGTAGGCTAGGGACAGCTGGGAGTTGCAGTAACCACAAAGCAGCTCCTTCTGGCATTATGTTTTAACTGTTTTGCAAAACAAGCTGCTTTAATAGAATTTTCAAAGACAATTAACTGCTTCTGCACAAAGGTGTGATTCAAGAATTTTCCATAGCACTTACAGGTTTTGTTTATACAAAACTTCTTGGGTATCTTTGCTCAAGATCAGTATTCAGTGTTACAGAGAGGTAAAACTAACGAAAAAATATTGTTTTTACTGAAACAGATGCACAGAAATTCAAGGCAAAATTTGAAGAATGCAAGAGTGAAGTAGAAAAGAAAGCAAAGAAAGGTAAGTCCAGCACAGTGCCATTTCTTCTGTCTGTGGGAGTGGTTGCAGCTCCCTGGAGCAGCGTGGCTGCTGCAGCAGACTCACTCTGTGCTGAACTGCACTCTTCAGTTCAGGTGCTTTTCCCGTCTGCGAGAGGAATCGTTCACGGGAGTGACAACTGCCTTCTTTCTTGTAGAAGGCTGTCACAAGTGCTGGTGGGACATGGCTTTGTTTGGAAAAGCTACTAAGGAAACATTTCTGGTTTATAGTGCACAAATGAACACTGCTGACAGTTACACTTCCTCCTTCCACTTCCTCTTCCTAAATTCCACAGATATATAATCATGCAAGTAGCAAACTTCATTTTTTAATAGTTGTTACTGTGTATGAAGTTGTAGCATTTCTTCATAGGCTTCTATTTAACAGATTGATGCACAGTCTTGTAGAATTGCCTATGAGACGAGGTAGCACCCTGTAAAATACTTCCATCTTTCCAAAGTATAGATTACTAGTGGTCTGCAGCCAATGCTCTTCAAGATATTTATGTCAAAATTTTTAGATCTTAAAAACCTTCTATTCCTCAATTTCAAATGAGTAAACTTGAATTTTTGGTTTTGTTTTTTTTTTTTTAAGATAGGCAAGAAGCTTGATTCAACACTGTATGAAGTCTGTTACTGGTAGCAGCAAAGCTGACCAAATGTTACAGGTTCCTCAGTTGCTCATTAGGACCTCATTTAGTGAATAAAATAAGCAAGTGTAACCATCTCAATTTCTTGAATTCTGACATCCAAGGTAATAACCATAGGAAAAAAATGGAATTCATTGCTCTGCTGTTTAGTGGAGAATTTTTAATTTTTTGTTCTTAATCCAAACAGCTGTGTGACTACCCCCTTCACCCTCCAGTTCTGTACTTTTTCCCTTGTAACAGGAAAATCCATTACTGCCTATATGTAACTTTTTTTCCTAATCAATCTTTTAGCAGGCACAGACAAAAATGATAGTGCTGATAAAGTTGCTGAAAAACTAGAAGAGCTTTCAGTAAAGGAAGAGAGCAAAGAATCTGAGAAGAAAGACATCAAGGAAAAATCTGAAGAACAGCAATAAATCATCGAAGGCCTTGCAGAGTTTTTCTTTACTTTTTATTTCTCTTTTTTTTTCCTTTTTTATTTTTTTACAAGGGACTTTATAAGAAACTGAATTCACCGTTCAGGTTGTTTTTTCTAATCTCTCGCCCTTTTGAAGATGTCTTCAGAAAATCCATTCCCCAGTCATGAAAATGTACTGTGCTAACTCTCTTCCATAGTGGAAACACTTATTTATAGTCATCCAAGAGTCAATAAAGCAAACTTGAAAACAGCATCAGAGGACAGGACTGAGTTTTCTATATACTTTAAAGGCTTATGAATACACTTGTTTCATTGGGTGTTGAGATGCATATCATCATACCTGCGGTTTATCTAGGTTAACAGACTTTACCAGCAGGGAGAACATAAGACTGCATAGATGTTTCTTTCAGAGCTTCTAAAACTGCAGTATAACAGACCTGTCATGCTTTTTCTGCTGCATGTTCCTGAGCAGGGAGCGTGCCTGTGCTTCTTGAAATGCAGCAAACTTCTGGAATCAGGCAATAGAACATTCCTGGCACACTGGTAACGGTGTTCCATCAGATAGTGGAAGTCAAGGTGGGGGAGAAAATGTATTTTGTGAGATGTGAAGTATTCTCTTACAAAAAAAAAAAACTCTTCTCCCCACCCCTCAATTTGTAGTACTACACATGCTTGATTCCAGCACGAAGTTGTTGCTGTAGTCCCAGCTCTTCCATGTGTGCTACTTGCTGACCAAAGGCAGCAGCAGGCTGTTATACTGGGGTGTGTATACAAAGGAATATTAACTGCTTGAGTACCTTATTACAAGATTCCCCATTTCAGTGTATTGTGAAAGTTGTACTCTAAAATTTACAAGCTTTTTTTCAGGGGTTTGGAGCTTGCTTTGTTTTTACAAACTGGAGGGGTTCTGAGCTTTTAAGACTTGTGGCAAGAGGCTGTCCTTGAAGAGGTGTTCTGACATTCACTTTGGAACAGTTAAGTAGTACACACTTGAGGGGCACACTCCTTGCCAGAATGGATAAATTGACAAAATCTCTTCCCTGCAAGTCTGATAGATTGAATTTCATTGTTAACCACTAATCCAAGGGTAGTGTTAGAACAGCGATGGATTTCTGTAATACAGTTTCCAAAATAATTACAAAAGCAGGACAAAACTTGCTAAACTTTAAGACTGTATGATGTTAACCTTGGATAGCAAGACCTTTTTATCTTTATAAAGAGGCTTTCCAAATAGGTCAGGCTCTGCAGTTTACCTGAGGAAAATGTATTTTTTGGAAAAAATCTTGTCGTTCTACTTAGCACTGCCTTGTGATGCTACAATGAACCAGTCTTAAAACTGGAACTGTAATTAAGGTACTTGCTTCTTTCAAAAAAAGTAATTCCTTTGGTGTTGTGCATGTTCTCCTTTAAGTACAGCAGATATCAAAAGTCTGTTAATTAACAAAGATCGTTGAAAGGTGAAATAAAATGCGCTTTAGTGTTTCTGTTTTGGAAATAACAAGACAAAGCTGAAGTACTTAACATTTGAATGTATAAGCCAAATCTTTATCCCTGAGTCACTGTAAATTCTCTGATCTGATAATGTCAAACTGTCTAAATTGATAGAAATTACATTTTAAAATTTCAAAATAAATTAAAGTTTTCATTGAAAGGATTTGCTTTTTATTTAAAAAACTTACCGGGATTGCATTTTTAGCCTGCAGGGGCAATGATGAAGGCAGCAAAATGGATGAGTTTGATTTCACTGTAAAACATTGTACAGAAGAGGGGAAGAAACACTTGAATTTCTTAATTTGTCTTACTTTTAGGTATTGGCGACTCCTACTTAATTATGTTACCTTCTCTTCCCCTCTACTTACTCATGAATGCTTAAATAATTTC